TGTTTTTACGAGCCAATCAAGTGCGCCATAAATGTCATGTGACCAATCACCCTGGTGCCGCAGGACCTCATAAAACATCATACATAATAACATAATAATGTAGCCAGTCACACGTCCTTCACTAGTGACTATCTTGAGCTGTCATATCAGGCAGCAGACAAGGAAACATCCAAAAGTCTCAACAAAAAAAGTCACTGATAATTCTAAAATATTTGCCACATCTACCAGTTACTACTAGACAAAAAAAACAATACTATATTTGTAGAATTTTCAAAACTATTTTGATATTTCCAGTTAAAACAGACATGTTCCAGTGCTAGGAATCAGACATGTCTTAAACCATTTGTTAACATTAGTTAACTACATTCATTAACATAAACTAACAATTAAAAATAATTCTAGAGCATTTATTAATCATAGTTAATGTTAATTTTGTCATTTACTAATACATTATTAAAATAAAAATTGTATCTGTTAATATTATTTAATGGACCGGTTTCATTTTTAATAACTAATATTAACAAAGATTAATAAATACTGTAGCAAATATTGCTCAATGTTAGTTCATTTTAGTTATACTACAGGTCTGTTGAATGCTTGAATCTGAAAGGTTGATGAACATTCAAAGGTTGAATTGAATTGAATTGAATAACGGCGTTTTTGAAGTAGATGAACTTACAGTTTCGCTATTAGTAGAGATGCTACTACTGAACACTATTGAGAGATGCACAGACTCAGGTAATTCACACACATTTAATCTCTCTCTCTCTCTTTCTCTCTCTGATAACTGCATTAATAACTGCATTACTATCAACGGCTCAAGCCTCTGTTTACATGTTAGAATTAGCAACGAATGTAGGATGAGATGCGTAAGAAATGAATTCTACTGCACAAGAGCGTTTTAAGGACAAAAACCTGTGTGGGTGTGGAAACTGTAGTATAAGTGGAATAATTGACTTCGGTCCATTGAATTATTAGTAAATAATGCACACCCGAGGTATAACGGCCGCATCACCACCTTGGGTGTGCATTATTTTCTAATAACTAAACAGCCCATCATCAATTCCTTACTTAATGCATTAACTAATGGGACCTTATTGTAAGGTGTTACCCATGAATCAGTACTAATCAGAGTACTGCCGAATTCCGAATCATATCGGAATATCGATGTACGTGTAATCGTAGTCAATGTGATGACAACATGTGACACCAAAGTGGCATACTCCAGTTTACCACTGCACAATGTCTACTGATTCACATACAATTTAAAAAGAACAGTAAGTTCTTGATTTCCATCCCTACTAGTTACTGCAATCTGCATCTTGCACCTCTGCAACACAAAACAAAGTGTCCTGAAACAGAAATTGCCAGAAGGGTCATCAGTAGAGCATGAAAGAGGCAGTTTCCAGCAGAGAGACCGTAGGTAACTGGATCTCATAAACGGTATATTCAGAGTCAATCAAACCCCTGCTTGTGTGAAAAACTGATCTCATTACCCCTGGCCTTCAGGGACTCATAACTGCATGAATCAAAAAGTAAAAAGGGCTGCAACGACACAGTCTAAACTATATGGATATACAAGTGCTTATCTGAGATATACTATCAGACAAGAGTTATGTTGGCTCCATGTGTGTCTGTGTTTGTATGTGTGCAACAGAGCTATTTGGATCAGCATGTGAGTGATTGACTCACTCCTCACTGCTGTCTAAACATCACGGAACCACTGGTCACAATCTCTGTTAGCAGGCTGTTGCATTTAACACTAAAGCTGCCTATGATGCAGGAAGTTTACGAATGCAAACACATGCAAATGGAGTGGCAAGACTGGTCAGCCTTTCAGCATGTGCAGAAAGTGAGGTTACACGCTTCCCGAAAGCCATCAGAAGTAGAAGTATATTGATTTTTAGCTCTTCAAAATGTTTTATTGCCAAAACACAATTATGTTGGAAGAAGCTCAAGTTCTCTGGAAACCATTTACACATCACCAATTTACAGTTAACAAATTAGTAGTTTTTTTTTTTTTTTTTTTAGCCTTATAGACAAGACAAAGCTTTTTAGTTATCATACTGTAGATGCAATTGCAACACAGCAGCATAAAATTTAAACTATAGGTGTCTTTACACAGCCAAGTTAAGGCTGCTCTGTGCCTCCTCAGAATTCAGTGTAAAGACACAATGCTGCATAAACCCACCCACCTCAGCCCCTAGTATCAAAATATACAGTTGTAATTGCTGTGTAAATGCATTTATGACACCTCTGAGCAGCATTAAACAGTATGTGGAAAGACACCAACAGTTGTGCTCACAAGTTTACATACCCTGCAACCCTGCAACAGTATAAGACGAATGCTGAACATTGATTGATTCCTGCACGGACAATGCATGCGTTAAGGCTATAATAACACGTATAGGTTATAACAACATGCGTAGGTGCCTCATAGTCCACCTCGCATAGGTTTTTCTGCAAAGGTTACTACCTGTGTGGTAGAAACCAACAAAACAATGACGGATTCCTGTCTGTGCTTTTACACCGTGAATGTGTACAACAGCAATGCGCATAGATATCACCCACGAGGGTGACCATTCGCGCAGAAAGGCAGCAGTGTCTGCACCTGTAACAACAGACTGTGAATGGCTAAACGACCTAGTTGAACACCACTTCGCAGGGGCATCAACAACTGCCGTGATAGTCTACATGACCTATTTAACACCAAACACAATCTCAGTTCAAGTTGTAGACATAATCCTCTTGCAAAGGCAAACTCACAATGCGAGTGAGGAAATATTCAAATCACAGGACTGACTAGAGTGCCCAGCACATGTTGATCATGTAGAAGGGCGAGAGGCAATCAGCCTTCTTGTGCCACTCAAAATTCTTATTGACAGGACATTCTGCCGGGAGACTATAAATATGTTGGCGTTATGCTGTTATAGAGGTATACTTAAAACAAGGAGGGCATACAGTCGCTGTCCAAGCACTCTTGCAAAACATCAAGGCGACTAACAGGGGCTATCTGACCATAAAGTAGATATATTCAGGCCCACCTACATAATCCAACCCCCTGGCCAAACCTGTGCGAGAGTCTGTCTCTATGCGCTCACTTGAATACAAATTTCAATAGATATATTATGACTCAATGCACTGTACAGCGGAACGATCTGGACATACAGGCCATTACAGTTCCTGTCGGCCGCAACAAGCTGGGCATGTGA